ATGGTGGGGGGGAAGAGCCCGCTGCGGGGGCGCCTCGCGGGAGAGAGGGGAAAGGGCGGGCGGCGCTGGGGGCTGAGGGCTGGGGCCACCACTGCGCCCTTAGGACTCCCGCTCTGGAGTGGCGGCGGGTCCATGTCTCTCTCCCCTTTTTTTTCTTTTTAAAAATTTATTTTCCCTTTAATTGGAAGTCTCCTCAGTGTTTTTCAGCACTTGTTTTGAGGAGCGGACTGTTTATCCTCGTCTTCCAGGGCCTACTTCAGCTTCTCAGCGTCCCTCTGATGCTGCTTGAGTAGTGATTGTGCTTCCCCCTCCCCTCCGAGGCGGGGCGGGAGGCGGTTCTAAGTGAGAATGAAAAGAAGAAAACGAAAAAAAAAAAAAAAAAAAAAAAAGGGGTAATAACTGGTCAGAATAGGGCTTTATGTAGCCTACCTAGGCCAATTTGTAGGGTGAATAAATACCTAACAAGTCTGCACAATATTTAGTCTCGTTTTTCCATTTCAGGTCCATGCAAGGCCGGATCACGGCACAAGCATTCAGTTTTGACCAGCAGTTTAAGGCCTACCAAAAGGATGAATTTGTTATGGTAGTTCTAACTCCTTTATATTTTAAGCTGACTTTTTACCCATGAAATTATAGCTACTGGAAAACTGCATAACAGCAAACGTTGTAGCTCTGTTAGCATGCTATTTGCCTGCTCACTGTCTCCTTGAAAGTAGGTGATTTAGGTGTGGTGCTCAAATCTTGCTTTGTGGATCCACTGTATTGTCCAGTAAAAATATTTTAGTCTGTACTAATGTTACTCTGTTTTAAGAGGGACCAATTTAATCATTCAAGATTCCCAAGAATGGGAATCTGAACTGGATGCTGATCTTGGCCACCACATTTGATGTTGGGAAGTCCACCCAGGGGGAGACTTTAAACAGTGTGTGTGCAGTTAGTACCCTTCTTCACAGCTATTACTGCTTTGTCACAGTAAATACACTGTGCGATTAGGCATGCATATGCACCATATATCTGAAAATACAAGATTTTAAAATTTATTGGATACCATTGCTTTATATTGGAGTTTTAGGCTCTCGGCTTTTTGAGACTCAAGTCCCTTGCTGATTCTGTGTCCTCCACTTTTGTTGTCTGCAAAGACAAATGTGTTCACCTGTTTGCAGACAGAAAGAATAATAATCTGTGGTTTTAAAAACAGTGTGGTTTTTACATCTGTTGTTTTAAAAACAACTCTTTGACTTGTTGTATGTCTATATTGTTATCCTGGATAAAGGATTCAGCCTCTTTGTATTTTAAAGAAGTTCACACAGAAACACACCAATATTTCATCTCCCATGGATAAACATTTCAAATTATTGAAGCTTACAAAATACACATTTACCTTCTCAATGCTTTTCTCTTTTGAATTAAAAGTGTAAAAATATCACTAGGAGATGATGATCTCCGAGTAGCTGTGAATTAACTGAGAACAAAGACACCATTACATTATATAGTCAGATCTCTGTAGCACAGGGAGGTGGTAAAGAGGTTTGGTGATGCAGAGACTGAAAAATTCATAATTTTCTTAGCAGCTTCTTCGATGATTATTCACTCTGCTTGTATGCCTATACATAAGTGTGGGGTTTCTTAATTGGCTTATCTATCACTTGTCAGCTACCAACATTACTATGCATATCTCCCTTTTTTAATTGACAAATCAGTAAGATTGAATATTTCAAGTCTTACTGTGGAACATCTCCATCGCTTCAATAACTTACAGATTTCTTCTGTATCTGTTTAATAATTTTTGTGTGTCTCTATGCTTCTCCAAGCTTCAAATTTATTTAAAAAATATAAATTTTACAATCATACTTGGCATTTCATTCTTTACTTCAACAACATTGCATGCAGAGATAGAATTGTTTCCTCTCTTCTTCCATTTTCTGTACCTCCAAGGATTTCATACAGCCTTTTTGTGTGTTCTTGGACTAAAAGTACTTTACTGCAAAACCTTAATACTGAATATATAAATACGTACATGAAGATATAAAAGGCAAACACAAAGTTACAAACCCCACACAGTTACAAAAACAAAGTTACAAAACTGTATTTGGTGGTGTGATATTTAGTATCCAAACTGAAAGATCATACAGAATCCACTTACTAATTGGATCATTATAATTTGCTTTGAAAGTATCCAAGGCACTATAAATGATGGGTTTATGTTTCATTTCATTAACTTTTATTCTCTTATTTGAATTTCCTAGGCATTTTTTAATGATCAAAATGTGAACTCCAGTTTAAAGTTGCTCTCAGCTTCAGGACAATGGACTACATTGGGTAAATTTAGAATAAATTAATGTTTAAAAAGTCTGTGTTGTAACTATTTTCCTCTAATTTACCATTTTTAATATCAACAGTTCGTATATGTGTATCTTCACCTGGTTGAAATATCTTAAAGAATGACTTCTTCTACTAAAGAAAAGATTCTTACCTAGCTTGTTACTAAATTGTCACCTTTTACACTTTTTTCCCTGATCCCTGCATCGATCCATAGACCAAGCTGCTATAATTGGTTTTAAATGGTCTGTGACATCCAGTTGACCTGATCATGTATCCAGACATAATCAACTGCCTTAATTGTGGAATTATAGTACTACCTTACTCAGAAATATTTCAAGAAAGACACTGTTCTATTGATGCAACCATCTTGCTTAGGACAGATCTGAGGTTCTTGCTGTGTTACAAATTAAAGCTGAGAGCGCAGGAGATGAGCTAGAGCACAGCCCCGAGCCTGTGTAAATGTGCTGTCTGCACAGCAAAGCGATCGAGGCGCAGAGAGCGCCATGGGATGGGTTGCTCTGGTTGCAGCCATGGCATAAGGTTGACTTCTAGTTTGTTGCCATATCATTACCTGCTCATAATGCTTGATTATGTCTGTAGATGGAGATGAGACACTAAAGGAGAAAGACCAGAAGCAAACAGCACATGATTTTATGGCACCACTTTGGAATTGTATTTTTGATTATGTAAATGACACACAAAGTTTCATGGAAATTGTATGTGATAATGTAATGGGATTTTATGCAGAATATGAACTCTGACATTGCCAAAGTGATTTTCCTTAATAGGAATATTTTACAAGGGGGTAGTGGGAAGTCCTCAGTTCTTCTGGTTTGTCTGCAAATACTTTACTGTGTGTAAATATTTAATGGAGCTTTGGGAATTGTCTAACTTTTCCATTTCAACTCTCTGGAATTGGCATAGGTTTTCCCCCTTATATGCAATGACACTAGACATTGCCACCTTCTTGTCAGCAAAATCTATTTTCCAAACACTGTATCCAGCTGTTAAAACAATTGAAATATATAAGATGCAAAAAATATCTCAAGTCCCCCTTCAGGTACCTCTTCTTCACTCTGGCAAGCAGAGAGAAAATAAATGTATTTCAAACAGTGGGTAAACCTTTTCCTGCTTTAGGCAAGAATTTTTTTAGGCTATCTGTCTAGCCTATGACTTGCCAGCCCCTGTCGTGAAGGTCAGTAGGTTACATACCTCGTGTTAAGAGTGGAGGGTCACTTGCCAAGTATTCCAGCTTAACTCCTGATTCTGCTCTATCTTCCTCAGCACAGAAGTAACGCATTTTGTTCTGAGGACTGGAAGGGTTCCCTTTCTAAATCCTGAACAGCTGGTATACCCCATTTGCTCTTAAAATTTCATCTTCCCATTCTTTGCCTATTTTTGGTGAGGAATGTTGGCACATTTTTCTATACTTAGTCTTCATGTGCATTTTTTGAAAATATAGTAAGAACTAGCTTTGAGTGGGAGGAGGTGAAAAATCATCTTCTAGTATTTTCTTCTTCAGGCATGCCGATACATTAATCCAGATATACCATTTACTTATCACTGTGGTGTGAGTCTTTTAAAAACAAGTTCCTGTTCTTGAAAGAAAATACTGGAAATTAACTTATATTGCTTTTTAGAAAATCTGAAGAAAATTACATTATCTGGGTTGATTCAATCACTGTATTTGTTCTCTTGCAAACAAAAATATTAGGAGTTTTTTTCAGGGGGGAGATATTTTAGATACATAATGTAAGTGGGGTTTAGATAGGTGCTTAGAAACCTTCCTTCTCCTCCCCACCATGAGCTTGGGCAGAAAGTATTTATGGACCCACAGAAAGATGTCAGCATTATATAAAACATCAATACAGCATTACGAGAGTGTTGTTTTCATAATCCCTTTGTGTTTTTCCAGGCTGTGGTCCCTTTTTACCTTCTCACTAAGAACTTATTTTTCTTTCTAATTCAGTGGGCATGGTTTCAGTTTCATATTTAGGTCTTCTCTGTAACTTATCTATGTACTTTTCCTGAAATCTGTTTCTGAAAGTTCTTTATTACTTTTTCCTGTGTCAAATCTAATTTTTTATTTCTCTTGACTGCTTTTCATCCTCACCTTAGTGTTATCAGACCATAATATCCTCGGTCTCCATCTGTTAGATCAAAAGGTGGCATAAAACATGGGGTCCCCAAGGAATGCCACATGTACCTCTCTTCTCAGCTCCCCCACATGCTGGGATTTCTGGTAGGATCCCGCAATAGTACATTGTCTCAAGGACTCCAGTTTTAACATTACGTGAAATACAACATTTTACGTAAACAATACATAAGGGTATTCTCTACTCTGCTTCGCCTGATCAGACAGATACCTAATTACCTATTTTCACACCGCACTTTTTTGCCTGATGCACCAGTGACATTTTTCCCCTCTTCGTGGCCACACGACAGAGTATCTGATAGTTCTGCCATGTGCTTTAAGCCCCCCTCATCATCTGTTAGTCTCATATTTCTAAAATAGAAGCAGCAAAAGGAACAAATTTGATGCATACTGACTTATGTTTTGAGTCTTGTATTTTTAAATAGCTGCAATAAAAACTAAATAGTAGTTTTTCCCTGGACACATTACTGGCCTTGCACCTGTCAGCAGTCTTGAGGAGGCAGGACTCTATCTGCTTAAGCTCAATTAACACTTGCAAAGTTATCTTCAAAGGCACAGGGTTACTGTCTTTTTGTGTAAATAAAAATTTAGTTGCTGTATGTACTTGAAGCTCTAAGGATTGCTGTCTTTGGAATGGTGATTTAAAATCTGGAAGGTAATCTTAAATCAGCCATTTTTTAGACTACTCTTATAGGTTATAATTTGCAAAAATTTTAGATGCCATTTGAACCTATAAATCACCAACCTGCACCTTTTACTTTGGAAATACCATCTTTTTAGCACAGAGCACTGAACTTGCATTATGTATGTTCTATATAAACTGTTTCGTAAATAGTAAGTTGCAGGATGTTTCTCTGCAGTAAAAATCTTGCTTAAACTTTGGAGGAATTCTAAATACACCTAATCTGGGGTTTATCTGCCCATACTAGACATGCAACATGTTCCTTTAAAAGTATATTGGCAGCACTTTATAGATATTCCAGAGCTAGCTGTTATAAGAAGCTTAATCTGCTTCAGTACTTCTCAGCTCTTTGTTTTCCACTTACGGGCTTGTCAAGGCATTTCTTCTTCCTATTTTATTGCTCACTTTTACAGTGCTAGTAAAACTGGTCGCTCTTTTCCAGGAAATTCTGAATCTCCAATTTCAAATCTCACCTCTCAAATGGAGAATAGGAGCTTCCAGTATATTTAAACTTTTCCATTTATAGTTTGGTTTTCTGAACTACTGAGTAGATTACAAAGCTCTTGATATTTTTTCCTGACGAAAGATTTCATAAAATCTTGTTTCAGAGGAGAAGAGTGTCTCCTTTCCTCTCCCTCCCCCAATGAAATCCTAACAGTTTGAAGGCATATAAATAGCTCAATTTCTTACACTTTGAGCTCAATAACTAGGAAAATGTTAAGATGTCTCTTTTTTCTCAAGTCATTTAACATCTGATTTTTATTATCTTCACTCAGTTTTTGATTCACAGGTCTTTACAAAATAATTTCTATTTTAGAGGCTGATTTAGGTCTTATTAAATACAAACTCTATCCCTGTGAAAGGAAGCTGGAGAATTAGAAGTTAGAGGAGTCTGGAGGTGAGGGGGTGGGAGGAAGCACAAATCAATAAACAAACAAACAAACAAAAATAAAAATCAGTTTGGTTTTTTCCCTTAGGTTGTGAGGCTGTAAGTCATGTTTTTTCTGAGTTGTGATTTTGATTACATAATTTGATTGTTTTTTGATAGTCACTATGTGGTCAGGTAGGGGAATGTCCTAAGCCTTTTTCTTTAATAAAAGGTACCCTTTTTCATAACCATACCTGTAGATGTGAAGCCAAGCAATCAAATGCTGAGCTTTACTCTGTAGCTGGTTTTCTCTACATCACATTGGCCTAATAAAATAATTATAAAATTTCAAGCCAGTATTTTTAGCTTAAGTAGACACATTTTCAAGCCATCAACTTGTAACGCCTCTTCATTTTTTTTCTTAGTGTTGATCAGGTAGGTGGTACAGCTTACCTGGATATAGATGCCAAAATGCCAGTTTGCTGAACCTATGAATAAATAATCTTCATATAAGAATATATGGGAGAAATCCCAAGGACTTTTTTGAAGTGTAGGAGCAAGAGAAATTTCAGATTATGCTACTTTTGCAAAGATTAGGATCAGAATGAAAGGATAGGTGCTCTTGGAAGCATCACGGTTCATACATCCCTTTTCAGCATGTTTCTATTCCTGAAATACTGTCATCTAGAGCGAAATTTGGACATTTCCTAAATGCTAGTCTTCAGTGATCCTTTAGGTCAGTTTGTCAGGACACCACTTAATTTTATCTTTAATTGTATGGTCAAAAGCCTTTTGATATTGTGATGTTGTTGACCAGTTTCCCACCAAGGGAATCTATAGAGGAGAAAAGACAAGAGGAAACTGGTGGAAAGCTGGAATGCTGTGAATATTATCTCTGCGGAGACACATTGCCCTTGAGTTGTGTGCTCATGCTCACTGGTGCTCTCCTCCCCTCTCCTGTTCAGAAGCACTTCAAAGGGTGTTCAGGGGGACTTGGAGATGAGTAGAGAATGTGTTACAACATTCGGGCTGAACACTTGGACCGTAAAGAGCAGATGGAACTGGACTGAGTCCAAAGCTTTTTAAACACGGAGTCTAATGCTATTTGAGTTTTATAGATCTATATCTGTATCTATATCTATATAATCCAATACCACGCGTACAAATTTGTAGATGTAACACTGTATATGGAGAAGATATGTGCCCTTATGGACCAATACCTCATTAAGTAAAATACTGTAGGGCATCTCAAATGGCACTAGATGTCTGTGAGCAACAGGATCAAGCCTTGGATGACTTGCAAGCACAGAAAACAGAAAAATTATAGAAAAATGCACTTTATGATTACAGAAGTAATACTATAGATTCAGACAGGAAGTGCTGATAGTACCTTTTTCATCTTCTGAAATAGCTGGTTAGTAAAGCTTCCAGTAGCTACAAAACAACTCTTCAGAAAGTTCAGATACAATACTTAACAAACCAAAAAATTCATCAGGGCTGTGTTCATTTAGTTTTTTACTTTGTGGGGTGTTATTAGCAGCTATTGACCCTTGTACTTCATCACGCCAAATTTGGTATTTGTCCTCAGATTCTTTAGGGCTTAAGCTGTGGAATATGATTTTCTGAGGGTGTGATTTAAAGTGACTGGTGTTTCGTCTGTGACTTGTGTCGGTTGATAGTACTACCAACAGGGGGAGCAGACACTTGAGCCTTAATGGAAGGTACCATTTAGACAAATTTAACATTTTCTTGATGCTTGTTTCTTTCCTAGCTTGCTTTGTTTTTTGAGGGACTGTGTGATTGAGTCATACTTACATGATATGTATTTTTCATGAAGAACATGCCACATACAACCATTTAGACAAGTTGATTATTTCCACACTGTATCAAATTATGAATTACTGTAAAACCATTAATACATGGAAGTTCTATTTTATTTATTGCAAGAGACTTGGAATGAAGCTTTCCTATATATTCCAGGTTCCAAAGTGACAAAAATTGAAGCTACGGTGGTGCCCTGTACACAGATTTCCATGTCATTTTTTGATCGGCTGTACTCTGAAGGAGTTGTTAGAGAAACTGGAGATATTGTCAAATGTTATGATGATTATTATGATGATATTCTCATCTCTGATGAATTAAGGAAGGTCAGTATAGCAATGAATAATTTCTTATAATTTTACATGCTTTATTAGGTACCATAAGGACACATTTTTCAGGGTTTTTTTTTCTTGACCATACTTACCATGGTACAAATGGGCATCAATAGCCATAGAAACAACTGAGACACTGCAGTGCCTGAATGTGTGAAAGCAACGGCTGTTTTCCAGGTGGCCCCTCTTTTCTTTTTAGGTGGGAGAAAAAGGTAAAACCTTCTTTTACGCACCCTTGTCTCAAGCAGTCAGTGCTTGGGTGTGTATGGGGGAAATGCAGCTACTCTTTTGCCTAGGAGGGGAAAAGAAGTGGTGCCAATGGGAAGGCCCTGTGGTACCCAGAGCTGTGGGTTCACCCAACCTTCCAGGTAGCTGATGAAATTGAATGTACTCAATAGCTACATCCCAAAGCATTCCTGGCCAGGAATGCTGACCATGTCATATGTGAAGTCATTTACGGAAAGTCATCTTCATGTATTTTCTCTGAAACAAAGGAGAGGAAACTATGAAAAAGGAAATTATTTTTCAGTGGAACACTGGAAAAGGCCTAAATATAACTCCTGAACAGGCCTGCAAGGTAAAAACTGTTTGTTTTACTCCAGTGGAGGTGTTAGAGAGCAGATTATTCTGAAAAAGAAGGTCTCTAACAGTGGCACCTTCTTAATCAACGTATGTCTTCACTGTAAGTGTTTCTTTTGACTTCATAAGCTAAACCAATCTTTTTAACTTATGTTTGTTTAGCATTAGCAAAGCATAGTGTGGGAGAACTGGATTTTGCTCTTCCTTGTATATATAATCAACATAAGTACTTAATAATTATAGAGTTGCACTCATTTGCACTTGGCAAATCCTTTGAAGGCAATGTATTTGAACCAGTGACACTGGTTACAGGATGTGGCCTGAAATACTGGTCTGTCTTGTAAAGTTCTGGGAAAAGGAGAGAACTCAAACTCATGTTTGAATTTCAGATGTGGTTTGTAGCCTAGCAGTTCAAAATACTATGTATTTATAAGTTGGGTACATCTGAAATGTTTTCTGAAAATTAAGTGTATTCGCTGTAGGAAAGTTAGAGGAAACATTTAAAATAAAAAAATCATTGGAGTTTCAGTCTCTTTCCATTCCCCTTCCTTTGGAAGGGATGTGGGTGTCTGCATTTGCAAGTTGAAGGATTCCCATTTGTTAGAAATGAACGTGGTTCCTACTCATAAAACCTAAGATGGCAGAAAGAATTAAGAGACAAAATCTTCTAGGAACGGCATCAAAACTTGAGATTAAAATAGTCAGCGCCCTAGGATGGTAGACTGTAGGGGGCAGCAGGCTGTCTGTCTCCTGGTGCCAGAGGGTGGCCCTCAGCTGCAAAACTCCATGTTTTTCTCCTACCTACCACATACTCACTTCCTTCAACCAAGAAGGGGGTTGGGATACGTATGAGGTGGACATCAACAGCAGTTGCTACCCTGATCCCTTTTTACTCAGGTTGTGTAATGATGTTATAAAGGGGGCCAGAGAGCGGTAAGCTCATGTCTAGCTTTGACCAGTTTGCCTGGGTTGGCATCTGCAGTTTGGCTGATGTGACTCAAATGTCTTGTGGCCATACTGAGCTACCATTCCTGTCTACCCTTACAGTGTGCAGTGTGGGAAGTCTTCTGTGTTCACATCAGCTTGCAGCAAAAGGCAGGTGAGACGCATGGAGGCAGCTGGATAGTGTGTCTGGTTAACCCAGGCTACAGCTAAAGGCTCACTAGAGTCTGCAGTAAAGAATGATGTGAGTTTGAGCGATCTCCTCTGAGACGTCCTTGGGATTCCTTTAGAAATGTGAGATAACTGTGTAAACTTAGAGTAAAAAAGCAAATGTAGGCAAAGTTACCAATGACAAAAGCTAGCAGTCATTGACATACCAAGTATAGCTAGATTATTTTCAGATTATTGATGTTCCCTTAGCATGGTGAGCAATTCACCAGACAATGATTCTGCTTTATATTGTATCTATAAATTTTGAAGATAATTGCATCACTGGAAGAAGGATTTAGAGAGAAGCACTTACTGTGTGACATACAGTAAAGTGGTTGCATTGTTCATAAACTTAATCTCAAATAAGAAATTTTCTTCTATTTGACTTCTTTGTTATTTTCTTGTTCCACAAGGTCTTGCTTTTGGAAGATTCAGACCATTATGACTTATTCAGCCAATTGGATCGCAAGGAATTTCTGTTCTGTCTTTTTAAGCATCTTTGCATTGGAGGAACTCTTTGCCAGTTTGAAGATGTGATTGGCCCATACTTAGAAACTACGAAAGCTTTATATAAAGATTTGGTGAGGTAAGTGTTGTATGCAATTACATATGTATATGCTGTGCATACTTTCTATCGATTTGTGTAAATTTATTGTGCACTACTGCTTCAAAAATGGGACTGTTATTTAATCAATCTGCAAGCCTGTTTGTCTTCAGCTATCGAAATACCGTGCAACAATGGTAGTAGTTCAATGGCAAAATATGTGCAATTTTAATGGCACCTGTCCCACATAAAACCTTTTTTTATACTACTCAGAAGAAAAAAATAGCTCTATCCCAGCCAAAACCAGGATATACATATATGGACATTGATGTTTTATAATTCACTCCCATTTTAAAGATTTTTGTTTCTGTAACCGTCTACTGAAAACATGACATGGCGCTGGAGCTAGATTGTGTTTCCACTGTCATTGACAAAATATCAGCAGTTAAATCCTGGATGTACAGTCTTGGACTACTTTCAAGCTGGTTTTGGCTTTGTATTTAAAAATTTAAATACTTTAGTTGAAATTTTTAGTTCTGTATATATTTTATTCCATCTGATTATTTTTTTAAAAATACAGTTGGACTTTGGCATTCTTAATTCCACAACTACACTTCTTGCAGCGTAAAGCGATGGGTGATAGAATCTGGCCCTTAACATGGCACAGTGGACTAACACATGTTTTTTGCCTGGTCTGGCTTGTGGAATTGTTCGGAATTTTATGTATTTTTTCCTTGAAATTAGAGGTGATTGATCAGAGATTCAAATTCAGGGAAAAAAAAGGGATTTTTTGGCCCTGTTTCAATATATCCATATGCTGACTTCTCCAATTGACAAAATTTCTTGTTTCCTGGTTAGTGGGAAATGAAATGTAGTTACCAGTTATGCAAAGACTCATTCCTAGCTAGGCTAATGGGAATATGAAGATCGTTAATGATATTAGTAAAACCTTATCTTATACTTTGCCACTTATAATAAGTATTTGTGGGATAGTATAAAGAACAATATTAACCTGAACTATGGAAAGCAATTGCAGACCTGTGAAATGAGAGATAGTACTAGAACTCTGATAATGTGGATCCTAAGTAATGCACTACAATGTACACTACAAAGGCTTCAAATTGCTTAAAGTAGGAATTGGTATTTTTCTTCCTTCTCAGTTCTATTTGGCATGGTGTGATGACCAATTGTTATTTTATCTCCTATTTTAAGATTATACAGAAGCATATTAGGAAAAAAATTGTGTAAGATGTATTCATCATTAAGTCTGTTCTTAAAATGTCTTTGGATAAAATTTAATGGAGTAACATTTATATATCTGAACAAAGATAGAGTGAAAGGATTGGACCCAGAGATTCTTAATCACCCAAGTGTTTCTTTACTTCTGCAGCACTTGTGTATAGATTGCTATATCCAAACAAAATATTTAAAATAAATTATTTGGATGGTTTCAGGATTTTTTTTGTAATACTTAACCAAAGAAGCTTACCAATCTTTAATAACTTCTAAGCAGCTTTCAGATTTTCTAATGGCCAGTATTTTTCAGGGTGCAAGTTGATTTAGTCACATGCTGTTTCCCAGGGTCATCTAAAATAAACGATTAAAGTAGCAGCAGAACTGTTGATACTTTTAGAGAAACCACTGAAATAGAGAAATTGAGCATTATCAGTATTCCAAGGATAATTTTTATAAATAATGACCTTAGATTGCTGCATGTATTAATTTCAATACTGTGATTACTCACCAGAGCTTTCTTATTAGTGCATAGATGGAAACCAAGTAGGTTCTTCAGAAATACCGAATATGACATGAAAGGGTCCATCAGTGCTTCAGACCTACCTTCCCTTCTCTTTTAAAAGGTTCGCTCTGCCCTTGAAACGAGCTGTTTGTAACTCTAATCCTTGGCCTTAGTTGACTCTGCATTGACTACCGCTGTTTCTGCTCCTGTGTAGTTGTACTGACCTAGGACAAAGCACAAATCCAATCAGTTCCTTCACTTTATTGCTTCCCTTTGCTGTTGAGTTGTTTTCTCCTAACATGTTCAAGTTTTGTTCTAAGCCACTCCTTTTCTTTACCTTCCTGTCTCCTTAAACCTTTTCCCCTTTTTTCTTTTCCTGCTGTAAAATTCACTAAGGATGTCAAGTAGTTCTTATTACTTAAAAAAAAAAAAAGCATCTGCCACAATCCTCCACAATTTCATCCTGCTTTCAAGGTTTGCCCTCAACCTGTTCCCTACTGGACATTTTAATATTTCTGTGATTTTTTGTGTGTGTGTGTGCGTGCTACTTCTGTCCTTTATACAATATGAGTAGAAGCCTTTCAAGGTTGTTTTTTGGTGTTTGGGTGTTTGTTGTTTGGGTTGGTTTTGGTTTTTTTTTTCCTGTTGGCAGCTTGCTTGCTTTCCTCCAAAGTTTTGAAGTACATCTACTTAGTTCATGTGACATAACTGTTCTTCAATATTTATCTACCATGTGTCTCTCCACTTCTGTGCCTATAAATATCTGCTGGTTTCTCACTGCCAGTGTGTGGTGGTTTGATCCTGTCTGGATGCAGGTGCCCACCAAAGCCACTCTATCACTCCCCCTCCTCAGCTGGACAGGAGAGAGAAAAATATAACAACAGGCTTGTGGGTTGAGATAAGGACAGGGAGATCACTCAGCATTTACCGTCATGGGCTAAACAGACTCAACTTGGGGGAAAAAATATAATTTTTTTACCAATCAACTCAGAAAGGAGTAATGAGAAATAAAACCAAATCTTAAAACACCTTCCCCCTACCCCTCCCTTCTTTCATGGGCTTAACGTTGTCCCCGATTTCTCTCCCTCCTCCCCCTGAGCGGTGCAGGGGCACAGGGAATGGGGGTTGGGGTCAGTTCATCACACTCTTGTTTCTGCCGCTCCTTCCTCCTCAGGGGGAGGACTCCTCACACGCTTCCCCTGCTCCAGCGTGGGGTCCCTCTCACAGCAGACAGTCCTCCATGACTTCTGCAGCGTGGATCCTCCCACGGGCTGCAGTTTTCCATGAACTTCTCCAGCGTGGGTCTCCTTTATGAGGTGCAGTCATTCGGGAACTGACTGCTCCAGCGTGGCCCCCCCGGCCCCATGAGGTCACTAGCAGCAAACCTGCTCCAGTGTGGGCTTCTCTCCCTCCACGGGCCACAGGTCCTGCCAGGAGCCTGCTCCGGTGCCGGCTTCCCACGGGGCCAC